TCTCCACGGGAGGCTAATTACTAGCTTGTTTCTATTCTATCATAGAATTGCAAAGCTCTTTTTTTCCCTCCACTTGAATTTGTGGACTATCCATTGTCTTTCTCTGTGATATTGCCGATATTAATTCTGGGATGGCTCCTTGAACGCCCAATGACCGTGAATGTGGCTCTTAGCCACGGCGCAGAGTGGAATGATTCCACTCTCACCACCCACTGTAAAGCAATCTCGGCCCGTAATGGGAAACTCAAAGAGCAAATCTATAGTTATAAGCATGTCTCAAGAAGTCTCGAGTCAGCAACAGGCTCAGTTAAGCAGTGAGATAGCTGAGCTGGAGGTCACAGGGACTGAAGTCAAGGAGAGGACCTTCCTCTTCCTCACAGCTTCAGCTCGGGCTAATTTCCGCTGTCCTGGAAACGTAATGTGGAGGGAGGGGCCACAGAGGAGAAATGGACAAAAAGAGGAGTGGACGATGGTGGGAGGAACTGAGGTTTTGCTCACTACTGATATTACAATGGAGTTGGTGAAGGTTTGAGATATTTCCAGCAACAATGGAGCACGATAAGGATCTGGTAAACATCAGGTTTTGGTGTCGGAGAGGAAAAAGTAAAAGACCAATTTTTGTCTCCACAGGGGAGGCCGGTGCAACAGAGTACCACGCAGCCTTACCTCATCTTGTCGAGGACAGTATAGGATGTGAAATACCACTCGTCTTCAGCTGCGCTGGATGTTTTCAGCTGTCGTTGTTGAACAGCAGCTTCACAGTTTTATTCTCTTTTGAATGTTATTCGGGAAGGAAAAACCAAGAAAGCAAAATCTGCTGATCATTTTATCATATTGAATTTTTTTCACATGCAAAACTTCCTGTATGGACGATAGCAGGGCTGCAAGGACACTGGGATGGAGACATATCAATTCAGCTATAAATGAACATGTGTTTCTTTGTGGTATATCTCGAGAAACTGTTCAGCTCATCAGCTTCACACTTGTCATGTGTCTTATGAAAGGCCCAGGAGAGTATTTGGTCCCACGTGAACAACTGGATATGTCCAATATAACCTTTGAATAAACAGGTGATCAGCTCTTTGTGCAGTAGCGGTGGCTCAGCTCCAGGGTTCTATTGTCTACCGGTCTTTACTTGCTGCAGCTTAATGAATGCATATGACCTTTACAGTGTCAGAAAGAAACCCCCAGCGTTACAAGAGAAACTAGTCGACTGACTGTCTGTTGGGTTTGTGTTGGAATTTGATTCGCGTGATCTCGCATTATTTTTTGCTCTGACGGTTGGTGCACAAACTTTTCAAGCTCATCTTCTAATTTTTGGGTGGTAAAAAAAAAAAATGCATTAAGTTTTACTCTTCCTGTTCAGCTCTTCATCAGCCCTCGTCCCTTCAGAATTTTCCACAATGCTTTACGAACGGACAAAGTGAATCAACACGGCAACTTCTGCAAAATAACCATAACCAGTCGCAAATTAAAACGCTATTCCTAATTTTAGCGCGTAGAAGACATTTCTATGGACAGGACATTGAAATAACTGATGTTAACATCACAAGTGGTGTCCCAACTCCTGGGGGAAGATTTTCTAGCCCTCTCCCTTGGAGGGGGACACTTACCTCATATCTAGGGTTAGGGCCAAGGAAGAGGAAGAGGGACAGGGCTTGAGAACATCTTAAATATGCATAAACTCCTATAGAATAAACTGGACTAACAAAAGCCTGATTCATTTTTGAAAGACACTATAAATGGAATCGGCAGCAGTCACTGGCCTAGCAACATACAAGTAATCCATAATGTATCACTGAGGAAAAGACCATAGTTGCACTGGTGCTCTCTCTATTTTCAGAGAATGTCTAGTCCTGAAATGTAGAGGAAAAGTAGCATCTTATATTTTCTTTTCTCTCAGGAGAGGTACACGAATCTCAGTGTTTTCTTATAGTCTTATAATGTTCGGGGAAATCCTGCCACTGGTGTAAATATCTGCCTTGGAACTCTGAATTGTACGTTGTCGCTGGGCGAGGAAATGGTTAACCAGCCGCTTCCACTGAAAAATGCCAGTCTCACAAAACATTTCCACACCCACTCCCAGTGAATCCCCATCATCTCTGGAAATCATTAGCTTGACAGGCAGGCGGCATTATGCTGATGGTGGTGAAATGATAATTAGGGCTGGAGATAGATTGAGTCAATATAAGTGTAATTAATTTTTAAATGTGAGGTTTATTAGTACAGAGGCAATCAGGCTCCTAATGAGCGCCTGATAGAACTTCTTAAATAGAGGAGCCAGTCAAATTGATAGCTCTAATAGCTCCTGGCGTCGGACTCTGCTTTTATTTATTGCACTGATGCATCCGTTTGTATGTTTAGCATTTTTTTTTTCCTCCAACTGCCAGAGTTATAATTCACTCAGATAAATGGTGTTTATTTGGATTCATAAAGCAAAGAGAGACGAGCTGCTGCACATACATTAAACACACACACACACACACACACATATATCACACTCACACTCTCTATGTATGTGACTAGAAATAGATCTTTTCAGCCCATTAAGGCTCATCTTTCAAATCATGTCATTAATTAAGCTCAGAAATACTCAAGTAATTTCTCTTTAATGAACTTGCTCAATTAAGTCTGCCCTCTTTTTTAGTTTAATCCTCTTCTTCGCTTTAAGCACTGAGTAACTACTTTTTTCTCGCCGACTCTTCGCTCCTTCTTTTGTTCCTCGGACGACATTCATCCCGCAACCTGCCCCTCCTCCTTCGTCTCAGCCCCCCGTTGATGCATCGCGCCCTCAGAACAAATCACAGGCACTTTCACGGCTAGTCTGCTTCCAGGACAAAGGCAGTGAGGCAGTCGTACGCACGCGCTCATCCACGTGTTCGTGATGTGACAAACGAGACAAAGCAAACGAGCAAAAAGTTATGACTGACTATCATAGAACAACGACGCCTGGTCATTGGATTGGATTTTACTCCCATTGATCCAGATTTGACCTTTGACCTGTTCTGTTTTTATGATTATCCAGACAAGTGACCTCTAGTGGCAGGGTCCAGAATGAATGTTCCCTTTCATAGCTAAACAAAAATAACATGCCTGTATAACGCTGATGTGCATTCACCCGACACTGAACTAGGAACACACACACATCTGCTTATTCATGCAACTATCCAATAAGCTAATTATGTGGCATAAAACCATGCAGCTTCAGGTCAGGAGCTTCACATCAAACCATGAGGAAAAATGTGATCTCAGTGATTTTGATGGGGGCGGAGACGGTGGTGTAACGGTGCAGAGAATGTTTTCTTGGCACATTTTGGGTCCTTCAGCAGCAACAAATCATTGTTTGAATGCCGCAGCCCGAGTATTGTTGCTGACCATGTGCATCCCTTTATGGCCACAATTTACGATCTTCTAATGGCTACTTGCAGCTTCGTAATGCGTCATATTTCAAAGCAAAAGCCGCCTCAAATGAGTTTCATGAACACGACAACGAGTTCGGTGAACTTCAGTGGCCTCTCTGAGTCACGATCTGAATCCAATAGAGCACCACTGGGATTTGGAGATTTGCAGCTTAAACGCGCAGCTAAGAAATGTGCACAAATGTCAACATGGAGCAGAATCTCAATGTAAAGTCTCAACGTCTTTATGGAATTCATGCCAACAAGAAATGAGACTATTTTGAGATTAAAGGGAGACCCAGTATTTCTGGCGTTCCTAATAAATTGCTCACCAAGATAATATAGTGTTTCAGGGTTTTGTTTGAATGTAAATAAAGATACGGACGATACGATCTACTTCCCTCCACTGTCCAGAAATGAAGCCCACATTAAGACAAATGCTGCCATCTTGTATATTTGGAGCCGGAGTCTGATCGAGTCACACAATCAACCAATCGAGAGTCAGCATCAAATGAGAAATTAAGAACTCTAGGTTTTAATTAATTATGTGATGCTTTGATAACAAATCAAAATATAAACCAATCACAACATACGGTGTTAAAATCTCTATATGAGGCGGAGGATGTCACACCTTGTTAAATGAGACAAATTGTGATTTGTGAATATGAGCTCTATATAAAGAATTTGATTGACTGACAATCATTCAGATCTTTTTGATTAGATCAGAAGCAATGAAACCTTTTTTTCTTCCTGTCAATGCTGCAAGCCCAGTTCATGATGGTATACATTTGCACTGTGGGAAACAATGAGTCACGTATTGAGGATATAATAAAATGTCACTTGATATTCACACAGCACTTCTAAATGGCATATTGACTATTTAGTGGGATATATAGTGATTAGTGAGCGATTTGGACACTGATGACATTGCAACTCTTGTATCCAGGCAACAGAGAACGTCTGAAAAGTATGTTTCACAGTTGCATCACCTCTTCTGTGTTCCTCTAAAAATATGTATTTGTGAAACTTCTAAAAACAAAATAAAGCAGGCGGCATTATTACGGCCTGCGTCCCCTCAAGACACTTTTACCCATCAAGACTTTTTATCTGCATCTCCCTGAAACTTTTACAGCCCCACGGAGCTGCTGTCCTCTAGATGACAAGCGCCTGAAAGACAGATTTCACTTGAGACACTTCCAATAAACCAAAATGAATTTTAAGGAGGACAGGTTACGGCTCTCAGCTCCATACGAGGTGAAGTCAGGTCATAAAACTGGAACAAAAGTGGCTCTCTGAGATGCACAATGTGGCCGTTTCACATCTTGTGATAATATTTTGTCGGATTTCTTCCAGCGTCCTGAGCCCACGCACACACATTCATTAACCCGTGTGAATGACAAAACAGTGCAAGTGTTTCCTCACAGAACTATTCCACCGTTTTAAATCATAGTCGTGGGAACCACTTTGTTGCTTGTAATGTCTTCGGGAGACGTTAAACTGCAGGAATTCAAAGACCCGTTTGTGCTGCTGCTGCTGCTGTTGTGACATTTAGTACACGAAGATAAACTTAAGCTCACCGAATGATTCTCTTTCTCTTTCCAGCCTTCTGTGAAGAGGGATGCAGGAGCGGAGGAATCTGTGTGTCCCCCAACACGTGCGTCTGTCCCTCGGGATTTACAGGACGCCGCTGCGAGACGGGTAAGACCACACTTGACCTCTCAGTTTTCCTGTTTGTTCGCAATTACAGCTCGAGCTTCGTATACATACAGCGCACACACACACACACACACACACACACACACACGAAGACACACACACCAAGTTTCAGAGATGACATCAGAGAGGAATTCTCATCAGGTTGGTCTGACGACTCGGTAGCTGCCCTTTGTTATTCTCTCCTTCTTTTCTCCCTCTCTCTCACTTACACTATCTTTTACACACACACACACACACACACACGCACATTCACACACACACACACACACATTCACACTCCATCTCTAAAGCACTGTGTTTAAATTGGACACTGCAGCAATTGAGGATCCCAGGAGAGCTGTAGAAAACGACAGCTAATTCTTCTCTCCTCGCCTCCTCCTCTCTCCTCCCTCTTTCCCCTCCTTCTCTTTCTCTCTCTCTCTCTCTTCTCTCCTCTTCCAGTTTCTTCCCCACCTTCCTCCGCTCTGTTGTGCTTTTCTTCCTCTCTTCTCCTTTGTTCATCTTCTCCTCCTCTCCTCTCCTCTCCTTTCCTTTTCAACCTCCCCTGCTTCTACCCTTTCCCTCGGCTCCTCGTCTTTTTTCTGCTCGTTCATCACCTCTTTTCATCCCTCGTTTCTCTCCTCTCTCCTCTGTTATTAAACCTCCTGTCTCTGCGGCCTCATTCTTGCAGAAGTGATCAACCGGCTCTCGCAGGTCGGCCGTTCACAGCGTGTGGCCACAGCTCCCACTTCGGTTTGAGAGTACATACATGTGCTTGTTACTGGAAACATGGGCTCTACATGTAGACACAACGGTGGCGACACCAGGCTGCTGTTCTGAGCCCTATAAGCCTCTGCTAACAATCTGAGTGCAGGAAGATTGTACATGTGTGTTCTGCTGCAGTCCCCCTGTGATCGTTTCCTTTCTTTCTAAGTCTGTGTTGTCTGTGGATAACACGCTAGTGAACACAGTGGAGACCAGATGATATCAAGAATCCGTGTTTAGTGTGTGTGTGTGTGTGTGTGCGTGTGTGTAAACGTTCCCCTATGGGGTGTCACTTTTTATTCTAAATCCGAAATCCATTTCAACGTGGTGGACAAATCTCTTATTCGAACTGTAACAACCTTTTGAATTAAAAAAAAAAAAAAAAAAACAGTTTAGAAGTTCAGCAGAGCTTGTTTCCTCATGACCCAGCAGGGGGCGCTCAGGATCACCTTGACCTATTGCCAGTCAAGTTAGATTCTTACGTTGTTTTGATGCAAAAATGGAGGATGCTAGCAAGTAAAGCCGTCCTGAGCAAAGTATTTTGTCTTCTACACTATCGAAAAAATCTGTTTGCTTTAATAGTATCAGCTCATTTATGCTGCTCTTAAGCACAAAAAGAGATAACGTCAGATAAAGGAAAATTTGCCCAACTTAAAACTTTATATCGCATATCTTGAATAAGTAGAAACATACATACTGCATGAGTAAGAATAATATTGATAATATACTTTATCATGGATACTTTATATGTTTTCATGGCATAACATGCAGCTCAGTTTTAAAGTTTTTCCCCGAACAACAGAAGTTTAAAATAATAAATTAAGTTAAAACAATAATGAATGATTATTGAAACACTAAAACAAATGTTTATTTTTATACATACAGCTGATTTGTCCATGTTTGTCGCTGCATTCGAGGGAAATTCACATCTCTTTTTTTAAAACATGATCGGTAAGTTTACAGTTCATTAATAGGAATGAGTATATTTACATTCCTCAAACGTTAGACAACATGAAGAGTCATTCAGGCCCCTCTGTAGTTAAATAATACACTTTCAGAACTTGTTGTGTTAATACATTTTTTAACTTAATTCAGAAATACTCTGAGGTTTGAAAGTTAATCAGTTGCAATCGCTGTGTAACACTTTTCATTAAAGCTGGCAATCAACCAAGGGCTAATTAACCTCCCATCACATATCTATCAATTAATTAACGTGGCGTGCAAAACCTCAGTGCTGCTCCCTGCAGATGAAATTTATATCCAAGCGGTATCGTTTCGCCACCGCAGCAGCTCGGCACAGATTTCCACATTTGCGCTCGTGATTTAAATTCCGATGACTAACAAAATGCAAGATGGGTCTGAATAATTGCATCTGCAAAACGATTATGTTGCTTCTCTTTGATGCACTTCAGAGACGAGGGCGAGAGGAGGAAAGATTATGTAAAGAAGAAAACAGGTTGGAAGTGAGAAGCAGAAGAAGTAAAGAAAGCAGCAGCTCATAGGAACCAAAATATGGACGAACACCTCTCCTCCCCATGGCCCTATATATATATATATATATATATTTTAAATAAATACCATCATAATAAAAACCATGTACAGAATCTTATGATAATAATAGTCCGTGTTAAATTGTTGTGATTCCTGTGTCTACCTGAGCGTGTCTGTCTGTCACTGTCTGTCTCTTGTGTAAATATGTCTCTCTCTTCTGTCTTCACTTCCGTCTGCCTCCCTGCTGCTCTGCCCTCCTGTAAAAACACATCACTCCTCTCCTCTGCACACTGGAGCTCAGAGCTCGGCTCAGTTAACAGCCTCTGAATAAAAAGACACAGAGTTGATCTGCTCGTCTTCTCTCACGTTGATCCAGTCTTTCTCTTCATGGCCGTCACGGATCCACTGGTGGAACTTCTTGATTTCATTTCTGAAAAGGATTTTCTTCAAGATCAAAAGCTGAACTCCATTACACTGATGGAGTTTTTTCATTGTTTTTCTTTCGACCTTTTATTTTACTTGTACATTTATATTTATTGTCATATTACTTTTATGCGTTCAAGTTTTTCATGTGACACACCTTTATATTTATTCATTGAATTTGAACACTACCTTGTTTTCCGACCATACCGTGGTTGTCTGGCCCCCTTTGCATCCTGCATTTTGTCATTTCTCTTATATTTACTTTTCAAAACTCTTTTTAAAAAGTGCTATAAGAGTAAAGGACTCTGGTGGAAGTATGCAATCTATTGTGTCATTTTAGTTTCTCTCCTTTTATCAAATCTGCTCCAAACCCCCCCCTTCCATCACGATGCAAGAAAATTGGTTCTGTAATTCTTGCGTAATCCAAATAAAAATGAAAACATAACCACTTCGGCAAAGGTAAAAATGAACGATGTCCAAAACAAATCTCTCAAGAAGTAAATGAAAGTGAGAGCTGGTGTCTGATTTCTCCTCATTAGCACTTGGCTGTGGTCTGTGGTCACTGTAGCGCCTCGTTTAGTCGAGCCGGCTGTTCATTTTTGACGGTTCACAGACTGTCAGCAACAAACAAAACCCCGGTAACTCTTCCTGTCTGACGCAAATTACAGTAAACGCAGCGTGAGACATGTCCTGTGACGTTGTTTCAGTAGAGGCCAGATAAGTGTAATTTAAGCTCAGCGGTCCAGAGGATTCTCCGAAGAGCTTAGAGAAATATCCTGCGTGTGGATTAATCCTCGTTTCCTTACTAAGCTAAAAAAGTCGCAGAACCTCACAAGTCCGAGCTGTCGCAGAGTCTTCACGTGTCCCGATGGTGAAAGTGAAGCCGGAGGAGAAACTGTACTTTTCGTTTGCATCGTAATGGAGGGAAACAGAGAGAACTGTGAAATGCTGTCTGGCTGCTTTCCTTCCTGTGGCTGTAACGAAGATTGATGGAGTGAGTGTGTGTATTTTGTGTGTATGTGTGTGTATGTACTCATATTGTACCTCATAGCGCAGGAAGGTCACCTATCCACTTCACTGCCACAGACGGAGAGGATGAATGGCTCTTCACACACAAACTCACACTTGTACACACACACACACACCAGTTAACAAACAGCTTTATACGACTATTGAGCAATAGGAGTTATTGACTGTGTGTGTGAATGAAATGAGCTTTTATTGCGTCTAAATAAAAAGGTCGTACTAGGTGGGTGAGGGATGATGTTTTAAATAACATGAGCTCTCCAATATCAGCAGATTCGGAGTCCCGGTGGAATCAGGTATTTCTGTGCAGCTGTGAATTATCGCCGCTCTCACGTCTTCTAATTGCTGTTTAATTTGAAATTAACTTTCTTGCTGCGGACAAGGAGACGCTTAATTGTTGTCGTCGTGACCTCTAGTGTCTCCACCAGTTTGATCGATATATTCCAACGTAATGACGTCTGTAAGAATTTCACAGCACCTGCACATGATCGCTCTACTCTCCTCTCGGTTAAGATGAGTTTAGACTTTATTTAACATGTTACAACAGTATAAGAGAAAAACTAAACTACTAGTTGAGGCGAGCTGGTGACGTAGCTTTAGAACACTTTCACACATGTTAAAATAAAAGGTGTGAAAAGGGCCTCGGATCACCAGGTGGTCTCAGCTTGGATCAAACTGATGGTTCACTTCATTGTTTTGGAAAGTTCACCGGATTGGCCGACGCTCACAGAATTGTTTGAAATCTTTTTCTCTGACAATTTAATGTTTGAGCATCGAGGAAGATGATGTGGCGAATTTGAACCAGTGTATAATACTAAGATAGTGGTAGTATATATATGTAACGTTTGCACTCTCTTGTGTACAACAACTCACAACTTGAACTTTTCTTCTGGCACATGAAATACATGCCTATGACATCATCGAACCGCCTGCTCTCCCCACGGATTATCTCAGGTAAACATCTTAATCCTACGCCCACAATAATATCACGATATGAAGGTGGCAATGAAATGAAAAAAAAATTCCCTTCCAAACCACAGATTAACACGCCAACGTCAGACACACGTCCATCTGCAAATCAATCAATGTTGAGTATAGGTCGACACAGCCAGCGCAGGTGATGACGGCGGGACGACAAAATTAACCGGAAAGACGTCTTAGTCCTGATTTTCAACTTTACTGATCCCGTTTCTTGGAGTTGAAAAGTCAATTCGTGATTCACAGACACCACAATGTAGTTCATTAAATACGAGCCGGACGGTGTCTGAATCTTTAGAAACCAGACTTTAAGACTCTTATAATGTATAAAGAAGAATTTAATGTTACACACAGATTACATCTAAATAACAATGCATCTGAACGTGCAGTTTTATTGTTCCCTTAATGTTTCGCTCAGTCCAACACCTTCATTTTATAAAAAGCTCTGTGCCAAATAAAATTGCTAAATATGGAAGCTAGTGAGTTTACTGATGAAAGACAAAACTATGTGTGTGTGTGTGTGTGTGTGTGTGCGTGTGCGTGTGTGTCAAATGGAATAATAAGTTACAGACAAGGTCGATGAGCTTTGATGAGCGCTTTGAACGATGATGAAATCGAGCTGGAAAACCGGTGGAAAGGTTTTCTACTCGTGTTTCAACTGTAATGCTGATGTAAAATCTGTAGATCTCATCCAAACAATGCAGTTCAGTCTCATTTTTGTTCTGTTAATAAAAACCTATGTTGTCAATATTAACTTTCAGCTTCACTCGTAAGAGTTGTAGCTGTTGGGGAAAAAACAGTAAAAGGATAAGTTAAGGTAAACTTCAGACGAGGTGTTTCATATATATATATATATATATATATATATATATATATAAATATAATGTTCCTTTATTTCTCAGCTGAACTTCCTGCTTGTTTCAGGGACACTTCAGCTTCAAATGTCACACCAGCATTAAGGTTTCATTTACGTTGAATGGAATCGATGAGCTGGCTGAATTTTTTGCAAAAAAAGGAAAAATGAAGCGGTTCTTTCATGGGGAGTTCAACATAAAAGCACTTGAATCACGCCGTTCATCGACCGCAGTCTTTAAAGAGGAACGAGAGGGAACATCAGAGTCTGCAGTAAAAGATGCATCACCGTATTCCCCATAGGACGTAACTAAATGTCCTCATCATCAGCCGTGTGCGGTCAGGTGACTTTGGAAAAAAACGTCTTGGTTGGTGGAAACGCAGGTGAACAAAAGTTTCTGGGACTAAAAGCTTCCAGATACTTTCGAAGTCTATAGCATCTGAATGATTTCACTGCTCAGAACAGATTTATTGATCTGTGACTGCAGCGTATTCACCTCTACATGACTGACAGCTGCTGTGATCCCATGGCAGGGTATCGAACATCTCAGAGTGGACAGGAGTGGTTTAAACTGGGTTACATCCTCTGCTCAGGCCACGTCCATCTCAAACACAGCAACTGTCAACGATACACAACTGTTACCGTGTTTGAAGTTTGGTGATTATATCCTGAACGGTTATGACCCTGTCGCGGTGATGAAACTCGTCCACAGACAGACGCCTTCCGCACTTGTTCAGATCCACGAGGTGATAAACATTAGCAGCCCCGCATGTCACGGCCGGTGATCGCCCTCACGCACCCTTGAAGCTGAAAGTTTGGGGTTTAATTTCATAGTCAGTAGTCAAATACAGAGAGAGAGGAAACAGGAAAAGAGGCAGAGAACTAAATGACGTTGATCTTATTTTCACAAACAAAAGAATCAGAGAAAACGAGAGAAAACCTGTAAAAAGTAAAGCATCAGAACATTTTATACATTAAAGTATAATCTATCTCGACAAAGGAAACGTGTCACGATGCTAATTCTCCCTGAACATTGCACATCATTTGCAACTGTGACAGCTGACAAACCAATACTTCCAGCAACAGTGAGACTTGCGGCAGACAGGCGACGCTCTGTAGGTTGGATAAAGTGATGGTCACAGGGTGCCGTGTGTCAGAGCTGCTGGCAGTTACAGTGATTGATAACTCCCGCTGTTTGCTAACAAATACCAAAGCTTTGCACTCACGAACTGCTAAATAAATCTGTTATAACAAAGGTAGCATGATAAGTGAGTTGTCGTTTTCAATTTCTGCTCATTGCACTTTCTCCCCGATGCTCCTCGTATTGCGACAGCGTATGCCTCAAAGTGAATTCCATATATTGCTTGAATTGTTCAGATACAAGTCTCATTTATTTCTCTGCAGTCTCAAGAGCCATGTGTAATTGAATTGTTATATTTTGATATTAAATCATTGTCTGGGTTTGTGCCTCGGTGCTATTGTTCTCCATAAACATGTGAGAATGAAGGACAAAGTACAAAAACATTCTCATCTACTATTTTTTAAAAGACACAATTTTTCCTTCATGGCACTGGGACTGAAGTGATTTGGTCGTGTTTCAACCCGGTTGTGTGATCACGTCCTTGTAAACTGGTGCAGGATGAAAACATTTGTTTGTTGATTTTGTCTTTTCGGACCATAATTGTTCGTTTTTACAGCCGAACAAAGTGACACTTTAAAAAAAAAAAAAAAATCCTGTTAAACCCAATTACAGGTTGTGATTATTAGGGGACTTTAATACAGCACTTTCCCACCATGCATCCTGCACTGCAACCTTTTCTTTCTCCGCCGTTAAGCTAGCAGAGGTGGATTTGGCCACGCCCTGACTCCATGCACTATAGATGAAGCACTGAGCTGGTTAAAAATGAGCCCATGCCCTCGTGCTCCCACACAGCGGTGCTCTTTTGTTGAAGGGTTAGCTGCTCTCACCCGCCAGTCACCTTTAATCTTTAGAGACTGACAGAGGACGGCCCTCCCAGCAGCTGTCACGTCTTATTACCCACAGTGCACCAGTCCGACGGCACAGCCACAACACACACTGCTAAATCTGACCCAGTGTCCCTCTTATCTGGACACAGACAAATGTGTGTGTGTGTGTGTGTGTGTGTGTGTGTGTGGGTGTGTGTGTGTGTGTGTGTGTGTGTGTGTGTGTGCGTGCGTGCGTGCGTGCGTGTGTGTGTGCGTGTGTGTGTGTGTGTGTGTTCAGGTTTTACCTGTGGCTTCACAACAGAGCTGCAGCAGCACACGAACAGCATGTGAGACCAGAAGCCCAGTTTGTGTTGTTGTTGCTTTGATGGCAAATGGAATTGCTCTCACAGCGTCCGCTCTATAAATAGAAATATTTTATACGGTGGAGAGAACTGCTGTGAGTTTAAAGCTTTAATTTCCGCCCATGGAAACCCACTAATGGAACATAAAGCAGAAAAAGCCTGCTGATCGAGCTCTGAACGCACTTTCTCCTGATTGTTTGCAGCAGATGTGGGAGTTTCCTTCCTCAGCAGCACAGGTGTACACACATGACGGTTAATTAGCACCTCCTCCCCCTGTTTGCTGTGGTTTGCATTTGGTCCACGGGTGATTGAAGAAATGAAGGTCACGCTTTAACCATCGGAGGGGTGTGTGTGTGTGTGTGTGTGTGTGTGTGTGTGTGTGTGTGTGTGGTTCAGGTCTTACACCTGAGAGAGCTGCAGATGAGAGAGAGAGAGAGATATGCAGGGTTGCATCCTACATAATGGATGAGAGGGATTTGTGCGAGCAGAGACCCAACACCTCCGGGTCTGTGTATGCGCACCACACGCCTGAGACAAAGCTAGCTTAGCAAAAAACGCTAGAATGAGCGAGAGTAAGAAATGGAGACGTGGGAAACATGGGAAACGACTGCGCTGCCGAGCGGTGTGATTTTATAAAACACTTTGATTCTCGCTGTGGCCGGCGTGCTCGCCGTCTAACGTGCCGCTGACCCCGCTCTGCTGTTGTGGCGGCAAAAAGGGGACACGACTGTGCTGAAGTTTCAGGTTCATTTTGGTTCCCAGGGAAACAAACATAATGCCGACCGATACTGATTCTCTGCTGTTTGTGTCCTCAGATATCGATGAGTGTGCAGAGGGGCTGATTGAGTGCCACAACCACTCCCGCTGTGTCAACCTGCCCGGCTGGTACCACTGTGAATGCAGAAGTGGTTTCCATGACAATGGCTCCTACCTGCTTGATGGAAGCTCCTGCATTGGTGAGAGAAACAAAGAACTGAAAACATCCTTATCGCTGCCGGAGAGTCTCTCAGCCTCTAAGCTACTTTGCGCTCTTTTCCTTCCCTCTCTTTCTCCCTCCGCCCAATTACTCAGGAATTCAGCTGTCATTCCCTCACTACCCCTCCACGTCTTTCTTCTCCTCCGTGATCACTCCATCACCTCCATTTGCCTCGTTTGTACTGTCAGAGAGTCTTGCATGTGGACTGCGACGGGTGCATGTGTGTGTTTGCTCTAATGTGCCATCAAGTAGACGTACTCGGAAACTAATCAGAGGTCCTCTCACCTTCGTAATGTGGATGATGACTCTAGGATTTATTAAATATTCACTTTCTTGACTAACTGACGAAAAGAATTGAACCATTTAACGATATTCAACATTTTTAGATGCACCTGTGGACTGCAATTGTAATTTCAAACTAATTTCCATATATTTTTCCGATTGGTGCTAATTGTGTTAATGTGCCTCTGCGTGAATCTAATTAATATTCTATTACACATTCACAGATTCACGCAACCACGTTTTAAACAGAAGTATTTTCCACTGCTCTGTTTTTTCTTGTGAAAGAAAGAAATGAGTTTCAGCAGCGTTTACTCCGGCGCAGCTGCTGCGACTGTCACTCCCACACCCAGACATTTGTTCTGCTGCTGTCAGATGAAAGTTTCAGGAGGCTGCGAAAAGCTGGAATCGACTTCAACTGCGTCTTGCACTTGCCAAATGGACCCGTTTTAAATAGTTTGATGAGTCTGTTTGATCTGATTTGAGCTCTTTGAAAATTGACGATGTTCTGCTTCTCATCCTGATGCTGCGACCAGATGGGATTCACTGAAGTCATAGACAATATCCTGATGAATGTTTCACACGTAAATGTTGTGTAGTTATTCCATTTAATTTAAACCAAGAGAGGAAAGTGTTAGAAAACGAGGATCTTGATGTCCTGATGTTTTAACTCGGTCAGGTCCAGTTCGGGAACAGAGAGAAAGAAACCTTCTTCTCTTTTTCATCCTGACATATTTGAATTCTTTTCAGTTTTGCGTCCGTCGTGTTAGTAACAGCATCGGCACACCCGCTCGCTCGCGGTAAAATCTCCAGATGTTTTCCTGATGCGTTCTCGAACGGACTCACCAGGGAATTCTCCGGTTTCACTCGGGGGCTGGCAGGAAAAACTCCGGAGCCTCTGACTCAGTGATTTTTCGTTCCCACATCAAGCCCCTCTGGATAATTTCAGGAGAATATCTGTGGTTCGGTTCATGTCTGAAAGCAGCTTTATAGCAAGAACAGACGTTTAGTGGAGTGGGAATGAGAGATGAAAAAACTATCTGCTGGGGATAAATTCAAAAAATCTGCCCCCCCCCCCGGCTATGAAAGGTTTGTAGCTTCCTGCTCTCGTCAGCTTTCATTGACAGCAGGTGTAATTGACTACAATCGTCTCCAGAGTCACGGTACAGAATCAGAACTTCCCTGCAGCCTGATCCACTTCTCTGCTGTGGTCAGCCATTTCTTAAATTCATAGTTTCTCCACAACGGAGGTAAACACATTAAATATCTATGTCCTTTCCGTGAGTGTTAAATGTTAAAGTCGACAGTTTTGCTTTATTCCATACACCAGCTTCTACTGCACCTCAGTCAAGTGTAAAAGCATCTTTGATAGTGTCTCTGCTCCGTGTTAATTGACGATGTGCGAACAACACAGGGATGGAAATGCACTTGAGACAGGCAGACAGCGCAGCCTCGTATTTCCACTAAAACAAATCCTAAGAATGATTGAAGAGACGTAAAATCATTCGTCCACACGTGACTCACATGTGCAGCACATGACAGAAGTTACTCATCCAATTGGACGTTAACATCGTTCATGTAACAATATCTGATTAAAAACATAACTTAGATTATATGATGAGTGAAATCACTTATTGTGTATTTCATTATATTTATGTTTAATTCAATCCCATTTATTCCATATACTTTGTAGAGTGTGTAGTGTGTGTCTGTGTGTGTTGTGTACTTGTACTCTTTAACTAGACAAGTGCATGTAGCAGTGACAGTGTATCTGCCACCTTCTCTCCTCCCTCTATGCAGCATTAGGCTGGAAGCCAACATGGGAAATAAGTACGAATGACAGTTTAACAGGAGATTTTCTTTCCCGGCCTCCACGATATCCGTCACGAGTCAAATAAAACGGAAAAGGCAGCATTTTGTTGTAAAAATCCAGGCACAGAGTTGCAGCTCCAGCCGCTTAAACAAATGGTCGTGCAGGAGTCGTGTCAGAGAGAACGAGGGAAGAGATTTAGTGAGACAGGAGAGGATGAAGGTCTGTGTATATGTACTGTATACCAGTAATTGTGGGTATAATTACATCTGTCAAAGGAAGAGGTTTGGTGCTTGGGTCAGGTTCAGAAATGATTTGCTGCAGTGAAACGCCTGGACAGCAGAAATCACTCTTATTGAAGCTTGATGCATTATTGTGTTTTTTTGTTCTCATCCTTTTTGTGTGTTTTCTGTTCGCTTGATTTCGTCCATTAGCCTCCACCCTGACATCAACAGAAGCAGTTTTTCTCCCTTCACCGTGTATTTTATAAATCACTTCAGTCAAATCGCTTTACAGTGCAGTTTTAAATTTAAGTTTTAATTGAAGGCACCATTATGAAATGCCATTATTCGAGCATAGAAAAGTTAGCATTGCCAGACTAGGGTATATATAAAGCTTGTGCAAGGTATGCATCACCTCTCCAATGCGTTTTATTTGTGTTGCAAAGCCCTATTCACTAGCAACAACCACACCATCAACCAGATTTCACAGTTTGTTGGTGATTTTGGAAAAGAGAAGAGAGGATGAATGATATTTTACTGAAACTCTGCTGGATATCTTCGATTGTAACATGTGAACTCGGTCTTTGAATGTTGTTGTGCATCAACACAACACATTAATTTTTCTTACAATACTGTATGTGTTACATCATAATAATATTCACGTTTGATAATTAAGTTCTGTCTTGTTGCAGTTAGCTACGCTGCGATGCAATACACGCTACTGTATTCAGTTGCATTGCATATTGTGAAAAGAGCAGCTGCAAACAGCTGCTCTTTTCTTTATTGCTGCATTCACTGCGTCTGAAAACACGTTTATTATGCCTGGTGCTTTAGGGAGAGACAGGTGGCTTTAATAAACAGATTGTGCATAAAGATGAGGATAATACACCACAAACTCCCACTGTCTCTCTGCACGACAGAGTGTGTATCATTTTCTCTCTCTCCCCGAGATGTACATGACCTTTCCATATGTGCTGCCTGCAGACAAACCAAGGAAATATCATTTAAACTCTCAAATACTGAGCTTTCTGGTGCCTTCTAATTACCAACATCTGTCAGAGGGATTTATTTGTTCACTTTGTCTGTGTGTATGTTTTTTATGAACACAAACGCATGTTGTTTTTGTACATGCACTGCAGGATTAGTGCGTTCATATTTACAACAGCGCATGTAGGTGTGAGGGAAAGTTTTTCATATTGTTGCTTGTGTTCGGCTGCGTTCTCCTGGGGCCTTTGTGTTTGGTTGTATGACGGTCGCTCACAGTTGACGTGTAAAGACTTGGCTTCATCTGTGAGCGGCAGCAGCAGCAGCTCGTGGCTGCGGTGAATGTAGCATGAAGAGCATTAATCCTTCACCAGCAGAGGAACAGTATGTCTGACTGGATGATGTGGATTTCATTTAGCGTATGCAAATAGTCTTTCGCAGGCACAATAAATTCTTGGCTGAGATGATTTCCTCTCACTGTATCCTGCATCACCACAGACATGATGTGGAAATCAAGCTTCGCAGACCCGTCGGCAGTCTCCATAGTTTCTCCATCTCAGCCGGCTGTGTATAAAGTAATAGACTTGTCGACCATGTTGCTCTCTACGTGAGAGCGCAGTCAGAGTTAAACAAACAAAAACATGAATTCCATTTGATTTTTTTTTTCATTATTTAGTTTGGTTTTTCTTCTTCCCTGGCGTTGTTCACCCAGCACGCTGCCAGTGTGGCGTGGGTGCGATCGATGTCTGCAGGCAGGAGAGCAGAGCTGCTGTCGAAGGGACTTTGGTCTTTTTTTTTCTTTCTTCTCTGTGAACAGTTCACATTCAGTGTGGATAAAAAGTTAAATGTCATGGATTGATGAAGAGGGAGGGACGGACCGTGGCTACCTGGTTTCCTGTTCTGCCCTGATAGAGATGAGCGACAGAAAGGCGCTGACTGAGCAGATAACTATGTTTGCAGACTGAGAGAGACAACACAATATTATTATTCACTGTCAAAACCTGAAATATACTGTTGCCTTTCAGTATATCTCATATTGCAGTATTTGTTTGGCACTACACAACAATAGAGACATCTTCTTACACTCAACTGACCACGACAACCTGAAATATGTACTAATACATCAACTGAAATATTTATTTATGCTTGTTCTTATTCGTGCACATTGAAGTCGTGCATATGATATTACAAATATTACACTTACACTGCAAACTCTCCGAGAGCAGAGAAGGTGATGAACACTGTGGGAGGACAGTTTTAACCTCTGAACCACAATGAATGTGTAAAGAGCCATTAAATCCACTTTACTTTCCAATACGAGATGCATTAGATAATATGTGATCCTCGACACAATGTAGTAAGAATAAAAATGTGGGTAAAAATAGAAATAGTGTATTCAACAATGTAGAAATAATAAAGTTTGTGCAATATAAAGATAGGGATCAAGGTTGTGTAATTGTGAACTTTGTTCATTCTCTACTTTGTGGTTATTTACTGAGAAATGTGTATTTATATTGCCAGTATATACACAATCATTTAACAATACTCATTATCTATCGATGGCTTTTCATCTTGCACATTGGTCCAGAGTTGTAACTAAACTTTAACTGAGACATGAGCTAATCACGGTCTTGTTAAAAATGATGTGTAGTCACGCTCATAGATTCCGTGGACTGGTTTCTAAAGAGGTTGCTGCTGGGAAGTTTGGTTTAGTGCATGTGGATTCAAGAATCATCACAAAGAAAATTGCTGAATTCAAAACAAGTGTCAAGCGTAAAAATTCCACGTCTTCATGAAACTGTAGCCGGTCAGAGGACGTCAGTTGCGTCGCCGGTTTTTCACGGCCGAGAAAATGTTTAATAATATCACAAAATAAAGTTTTATTCTAACACAATCTTATAAAAGATAAATATTCTACTGAGGGATATTCTTGTTTTAGAAGTGTGAAATTCTGCTCAATTATTGTGTAAAATGGGCAAAATAATAATTTTTAATTGGGACCAAAAGTGTTGAGCTTTAATACTCAGGCATTTGTCACACTAACAAAGTAATTTAAGCAAACATGTTTTGTATTTCGAAACTAATGAAATTACTGTGATTCTAAGAGAGAGAAATATAAAACAGAAGGGAAACGTTGTCACTTAAATAAAGAACGACAACAGTGTGTTTGCTTGTTTGCTGTTGTGTTGAACCTCCTGCTTCAAGACTGACAGGACTGTGAAACACACAGTTTCATTCCTCTTACAAACGGCTAATCGGCGGTAATTTGCTCTTTGTCTTCCAGACGTTGACGAGTGCAGTTTGCAGACACACACCTGCTGGAACGACAGCGTGTGCGTGAACCTCCCGGGAGGCTACGACTGCGTGTGCACGTCCGGGCCGGGCTGCAGCGGCGACTGTCCACAGGAGGAAGGAATCAGACGCAACGGAGAAGACTGGAAACCGAGCTTCGACCGCTGCGCTATCTGCTCCTGCAAGGTAAAGATGAGGGAACATCCACGTGTCACGTATAAATCTCATGCCCTGTATAACTGAGCTGTTTACGAAGGGTAGAAAAAAAACTACAAAAGTAAAGCCAAATAATCTGAATTGACCTTTAATGGCTTTCTGCAGTATAGGTTAAAAAACTACCTTCTCCATGTTAGTGGACGGGACTTTGAGCTACTAAAAAGTCAACGTTTACGATGGTTTCTGTCTTTCTAGGTAGTTCTTATCACACTGATGCATGTTCACATCTATTTTTCCACTAAGTTTCTTTTTATATGATGTATTTGATGCTATAAAAATGGGGTGAAATGCCACGATCGACTGACGCGTGATCGAGGTCGAGCCACACACCGTCCATCGTTATTTACAATCTATGATGTGTATGTGAAAACAATATGTTTGACATGCATACGCAAATAGGTTTTAATTTACGTAATTTAACTTCCGTGTTTTAAAAATGTTGTAAATTGTCGACTTCTCCAAACATAAAGTTAGATTTTAGGTGGAGAATCACTCGAAGAGACACGAGAGACAGAAAACTGAAATTCTATCAGGATCAAATTATTTTTCCTGTATGGAATATGGAATACATTTCATATTCTAGAAAACCCATTAACAGTGAGGAGCCAGGTTAACTTTACAGCCTTCAATATACTCACTGTTGTGACACCACTCTCACACACACACACACACACACACACACACACTCGTAATTGACTGTCGGCGGTTGACGTTGCTGACATCACTATGAATAATTATCAACCAAACACAAAAATATCAGCGGTTCCCGAGAGAATAAATAAGCATCACACAGCGTCGACTCGAGCGGGAGAAAAACACACCTCGGTGCTCCCGTCTGTTTGTTATTAGCCGGTTTTACAGTCTGGCAAATATTTGTGTCAGTTTATCAACTCGTGTCTGTGCTCGAGACTCGGAATGAGCTGGTGAGTTGTGTCTGTGAGTGAGACGTTGATCAGATTTGTCTTTTCGAAGGTGAGTGAGATTAACGGGAAACAGACACAGAGGATTTTATTGAATGGAACGAGTGTAACATTTTACTTCAACACTTAAAAATGTCCAAGTTACTTTAAACTTTACGTTTCTCAGTCGTATTGTCTGGAAACTGTGCAAATTGTTTAGAACCTGCTGGTTTGGTGATTAAAGACTTTTACAGATGAGCACGGCATCTTTTCAACAGCAGAAGAATAATTATTTTTTACTTCTTTTTTTCTACCATTATTTCGAACACACAACTTGAATATGTTTGTTCAGAAAGCTAGAGTAAAATAAATCATAACTTTAAACTAAATGTTGGTGTGGATCAAATAATTTTTTCCCAGAGAATTATTCATGGCTCTTTTTGGTGGATTTTTATTTGTGTGTGAAATTTGGTGCAGATCCACATGAAGATGCAGATCTAGTGACTTTAAATGTGGTTTCATAAGGAGACCGTTCACATTGCTCCTCTTGTTCATTTGTGTGTTGCCAACCGACACATTTTTAAAGATGAACAATTTTTCTTTTGTCGGTGTAGAAAGGATTTTTAGCTTTTTCCAAAAGTGGCTCCACGCGCAACAAAAGACTCTGAAATAAACGACTTTGAAGATAAAAACTACTTTAAGGTCTGTGCCCGAAAACAAGTCGAATCATAAAAATAAATAATAATTATATTCATAATAATAAAAATACGTAGTCATCAGATTCATCACTGCACAGTCGTCATCAAAGTTGTCATAAAACTGCAGTAATGATGTCGTTTTAGAAAACACAACAGTGCAGCATTGGCATGCAGACCTGTTCTTACTCCTGCCATTAAAATGAACTGTCTGTCATCGTATATATCCTGCCACCGCGCTACAATTGGCAGTAATTTACCAGCAAGTCCAGGGCCGGAACTGTAAAGACCAAGGCCATGGATATTGGCACCCTGGGACTCTGCGGTTACTGTAGCAGGACAATATGCATCAATAAAAAATTGGCTCTGAATTGCCCTTTTAATGGTATGCAGAATGATTTTATGGCCCCCATACATTTTCTAACAGCCATTTTATGTAACATTTTTACATCTCCATTACGCCGTGGTCCCCAGGCCAGACAGTGCTGGCTGTGCTGAGTAATACGGCCCATAAAGTTTTCTCCGGGTGCAGACGGAGAGCCAGGGAAACGGTGACAGGAGAAACTCACGGAGACGTCAGACTCCTCCGCAATTTGACTTTGTATTCCAGCACGGGTTCCAAACGTCTGGCGTTTCTTTGCTTCAGTCACAGCGCCGATAAACTGCAGTTAGAAAATGGAGGGTTGCTAGAGTTGTTTACCAGCCTTGAGGGAGCTGCCTGAACATGCACAAATGCGAACAGCTTAGGTTTGAGGTTTGAGATACTCGTAGCGATCGTATTCCACAGTCTCGGATCTTTAAATCCTGATATTGTGCTTTTTATATTGAGTTTAAATTACATCACTTTTTTAGCAAAAAAAAAAAAAATCCAGGACTGAATATGTGATTATTGATCTCTTTATTTTCTTCTCCACTTTGTAGAAGCAAATAAACAACAGGTTAATAAATTCAGTGTCATATGAAATTCTTACCCTGAGCATCCAGCAGCAAACATACAGAGAAACCAGGTCGGCTTCATATTTCATTTCAGTTTTTGATGAGAAACAGAATATTGAGTGTTTCCTCTCGTGCAGTCAGTGGCCTGTTGACCTTTACGGTGTGTTCAAGTGCAACTTTTAACATCGGACAACATGTCATTTACACTAATGGGAAAGATTCAAGAAAGATTTCAAGCTGTATTTCTTCACATTAGTGTCTTTAAAAGTTCCTTATTTTATTTTTTACATCAATCACACTCGTTCTGAGGCCCCTAGTTTTATGTTGTGTTGGAAGAATCTCTTTACTGTCAAATAGATTCATATTTTATGTATCTTTATTTTTAGTCTTTTGATCCTTGTTTCATGTTATATCATCACAGTAAAAACAATCCATAGAGAGGCGCAGTGTTTTCTTGGTGTTTGTCCCGAACTCGTCCAAAACAAATGCGAATGGTGTCTGGACGGAGGTTTTTACGACGGGTGAAAACGCTAAATCAGCGAAAAAAGTTCCTTGCAGGAGCTTTAAATCTCACAGTACGTCAGTGCTCCCTGACCGCCGTGGCCTCTGTTTTGCAGGACGGGCAGACGTACTGCAGACGGAGACCCTGCGACTGCGGCGACCCAGATGAGGATTTGTTCTGCTGTCCCAGCTGCGACAACCGGCCCAGCAGTCAGTGTCTGGACCAGAGCGGACGCACACTGTACCGCAGCGGAGCGTCCTGGATGTACGGCTGCCAGCAGTGCCGCTGCATGGTTTGTACACACACACTCACACACACACACATTCGAACAAAGCAATGAAAGCTGACCTTCATTGGAAATCCCAGATGGGGTGAAACAGGGCTGTTAGAAGGAGCCGGGGACATAAAAGAAAACAAATGAAATCTGGTCAACATGCAGCTCAGAGCTTTGCTGCTCGGCCGTGTGTGGAAGGCTCAGATAATTACCACCTCTCTAATTAGAGACGAGGCAACAGATCAGTGTGTGAGCTACATCTGCAGCTGGTTCACACATCAGGTAACATTTCCTACTGCTCTCACTCTTCCTTCCCGCTACGTTCTCTGTGCCTGTGCAGGAGGGGGAGGTGGACTGCTGGCCTCTGGTTTGCCCCGTGTTGATGTGCGAGTACACGGCGGTGGCGGAGGGCGAGTGTTGCCCGCGCTGCGTCACAGACCCCTGCCTGGCTGACAACCTGTCATACGACATCCGGCAGACGTGCCAGGACCCTGCAGGCTTCGCCCGCCTCAGTGGGGACACATGGCATATGCCCAACTCACCCTGCACCACCTGCAAGTGCAAGGTAGGCCAAACGCAACAGCAGCCACAGTGGAGGTTTGATTCAGTTTCATTCAAACACTTGTTTGGCTCATTTAGTGCCCATCAAAAAAAATGATAATCGAGGACATATAAACTCTATATCCGGCCTCCTCCATGTAAGTGGCTGGGACAAATTAAAAGTAAAAGGTTACGTATGATTTCTGTCATTTTAGGTAGATGTCTTACGTTTTTCTTACGTGTTTATGTTTCTGATAATTTTGGTTTTAATTAGTTACGTGATGTTAACAAAAGTGGGAGTCGAGACTAGTCGTTGTAACGTCATCGACACAAGATGGCAGAAGAAGTTTACAGTCTAAGGTTCATCCCTGCAACTGCACAACTGTAGTTTGTGATATAAAACTCTCGAGAAGTTCCAGACCCACTTCGTGTTTATGTCGGTTTTAAATTCCCTCACCATCTTAATTGTGTATCCGAGCTGTAGCTGATGGAGCATCTTCTTGGAGCTGGTAATGGGAAGCTAATGTGAGCTGCAGGATATGTAACGTCGTGCTGTTCTGACACACAAAAATCAGATGATGTAACAACAAAATATGCAGATCAACGTTTCAGGAACATGTCACCATCGCTCAGATCATCTCCACACATTCAGGAGAAAATAATCTGCTGCCGCACGTCAGTGGAACTCAGCCTGAAGCCCGATTCAACCAATTCATTCCTGTTGAATATGTAAAGCTGTAAAAACAGGTCACAGATATATAGTTTTATTTAAAAACAAGGCTCAACATTGTTCTGCAATCACGAGGAACTGCAGGTTTAAGTAAACATCACTCGAACAAGAATTATCAGTGAATTTATGTATTTGTTCAGCAGCAGATTGAAATGTGGGCCAGCGTGTATTCACAGCAGGACTCAAACTGAACTGTGCCTACTTTGTTCATGGTGATGAGGGAACATAACGCTGTCAATTGCATGTTTTTCCAAAATTTGCCGACAAAGAGGAATCACAAACAATCTAATTTGGGTTCGGACATTTTCTGACACGGCAGAAAATTTGTTGTTTGGATCAAATACTGTCACAACAACAAGAACATGTCTGGAACAGTCAGAGGTGGAGCTGCAGGAGCCAGGACACGACCACAAGCTCTCAAATATCTTTGTCTTTGTCTTCGTCAGCCTTTTCCTACTCGTTCGGCTCCTCCGGTCACACAGAGATATTTGTATTCTTCCAGTTTTGCATTGCATTGCTTGCTGTTTATTGTTTATTTTCCTGCTGCATTCTAACATTTGGACATTTTATGGACCTTTTACTTGGAGGCTGGCAGAAAAGCAACTGACTCTGATATTTGTGTTGTCACGTACATTTCAGGAAAAATGTCTGGACACAATCTATATTCTTTAACTTGGCATGTCCCATTAAATACGTTAGAACCCCTCCTTCCTGGTCGTCACTATCCTCCTTCTTCCTGTTGACCACAGATGTATCTTTACCCTGCAGGTAGTTTATTTGCGGAGCTTTTGAGGTATTGTCCTCGGAGACCCTTTTCATCAGGGACTATTTGTCAGTTCCAGTGGGAAGCGTGGCACAGCAACACTGAGCTCTGCTGATTAACCACACGGACCTTGTCTGCGAAAAGACACATTTCTCTTCAATTTCTCAAATTTGTCAGCGCTCAGAGCCGAGTGTCCTAAATTCTGTTCACTTCCAGTGCGCCGGAGTGGCAGCATAAATCTCCGGGCTGCATTTCTCAAAAGCAAAGCGGACAATCCTGAAAATGACTCGAAAACACTAGTGGTCGGGGAAAAACACAGAATGTTGTGTAATCTGCGTAAACTGAGTCCTACATACTGTATTTTAGGTTCTGGAACGTATCTTAACATTCAACTCGTAGTGAAACACCATTAATCTAACTTCATGTTTCTTCTCTCCTGTCTTTTCTTGCTACGCTGCTCAGAACGGGAACGTCTGCTGCTCAGTGGATCTCGACTGCCTTCAGAACAACTGAATCTTTCTTCCTCCTGTTCTGCTCCTCCTCCTCCTCTCACTATGGGACTGCCACACCCCCCTCCTCCATCTGACGACTCTCCCCTCTGATTCATAAGACAGACTCACGCACACACACGTGCATGCCGGTGTGAGCACAGAAAATACAAACACACACTGGACGAACTGGGGCACTGAGGCTGTGCTTCTGTACCCTCAACAAGCTGTGTGTGTCCGTGTGTGTGTCCGTGTGTGTGTGTGTGTGTGTGTGTGTGTGTGTGTGTGTGTGCAGGGCTCAGGAGAAGACTGAAGCCAGGTTGCTCTCACATCAGCCACTGTGTTGTTCATGTGTCTTTGTGTTTCCATTTCAATGTGTCCTACGTCAAAACAAAAACCAGAGACGAGTAGCTCAGAGTCACAACTTGTCTTTTCCTCTTGTTTGTTTGTCAGCAGGATAACGCAAAGTGAATTTTTCAATTTTGGATCTGAACAAAAGGGGCATATCCAGAATTTTATATAACTTTCTTTAACATTGTGAGATGTGAGGTGTTTGGTACAGATGTCCCAGGGAATACTTAATGGATCTTGATTGAGAAACATCTGGCATATTTAAGGAACTGATATCTATGAGTGTGTGCAATTAAGTGCGGCTTGATTGAATTCAAGGGGAAGTCTAGTTTGGAGGAGGTTTCACAGCTGTTTCTGCTTCTGCGCTCGCTCACCACATGAAGTATATTAGTGCAAAAGCAAAGGAAGATACCTACACAGAACTTGTACATTCTTTTCAGAAGAACACTTGAGTCTGTGGGAAACAGGTGGAAAATATGAATCTATTCAACTAAACCTTTACTTTTCAGTGCATCTGTTGTATTATAGTTCTCTAAGCAAACCTGCAAAGGAATAAACTGAGATTAGCTTCTCTATTCATACTGTTTAAAAACTCTGTGATGGCTATTTGCTGCTCCCAATTCAGACACTGCCTCCTATCACATCCGTATTTCTGGATATTTCATAAAAACGGGTCTTTTTAAAGAATCCTACGACATTGTGAGTTCTGCCGAAGAGTCACAGCCGCGTCGCGTCACCTTATCCGACATGAATGCTGCATGCTCATTTGCTGAGAGAATCCATCTTGTCGTGTTTGAGAAAGTGCAGATCACACAGAGACAAAGAAGAGAAAATGAGAGAATGTGGATAATTAAAGCCGTGTCAGGCAGGGCTGGGTTTATATGCCAGGAGGTCACCAAGTGTCAGACGTGTTTACAGACGCTGCAGCTTATTAAGGCCGGAGAGTCTGAAGGTTTTCCTGCTACAGTTCACATGATGCTGCCCTGACATCCTGTCCTCTCCTTCACACCGCCCACCGTTATCTTCAAGTTCTTCTTGAGAGTGCTCAAGTTTCTCTCAAGTGCTCGTTATCACCTTGAGTGTCCGTCACTGAGAGAGAATCTCTATCACGGGCCTTGAGCACAAACTTTGAAAACTAGTTGTAGCTACGAATTGTACTTCAACCAGGAAATGACCTCAAATTAAAAATCTAACTACAAAACCACTCAACAGTATAAATATTAATAAACGACATTAACTCCACAGCTGCAACGAACAGAGAAAACAATACGTCGAGTTTGGTGTTGACATTCAACTCTAAAGCTAAAGTACCAACTTCATGAATGTTTCCTGTTCTAAGACAAAAGCCCATCGTGTGCAATCCCACAATGCATTTCTGTCAGAGCTAAAAACACGATGCACATGTAGAACACAAAGGTACGACGCTGGGGATGAACAGTATCCACTGATATTACAACATCCGGCTGAAGGCAGGAAATGAAGGCAGCAGTGGATGAGTAACTTAACGTCTTATTTAAAACCCCAAAATATCAAACTAGTGATAGTAAATAAAAAATAAATATAAATAAATATACTTCCATCATTAATCCTCACCATTTTACTTCTTCGGAAGACACGTACCCTTAATATAATGCCCAAGATACCTATTTACACAACTATGAAAGATATACTATCTCTGACAAGATTTCAACAGGAGTCAAGAAACTAAATAAGCATAAAAGCAGAATTAGTGAACAACAAACCACGACTACAGAGACACGTGTAACAAGGTCATTGTTGTGATATCATTTGTTCCAGTGGAGGAGCAGTACACCTCATCTTCATCTGTAAAATGAGAGCAATACAACAATCGTTTTTTTTCAAAGTGTAAAGAAAAGAGCATTCTGTTTGGAACCAGCATCAGGGAAGTTAAGAGTAAACGTCTCCACCGGTTCCCTCCTCCTCCTCAGCCTCCATTATTAAATGTCGCACCGGCTCGTCTCTCTGATCCTTCACAGAAACACATACAGCCGAGCCCTCTCAGCGCAGAGCGCCCTGTGAGATGCTGATTGTTCGGCAGCGATGTGCGATGATCTCTCCGCCGTCTTTGGTTTTCAGTACATCTGTTTGTGTCTCGTCTGAGCGTCTGCCCCCCTCCCCCCTCCTCCATTATCACAATCACACGCACACACACAGACACACACACCTGACCCACAAAAAAGTGCTGTAAATGCTATCTGTACCCATAAACGTTTGACACAGCAATCGAAGGCAGACATTTGTACAAACGATCAATGAGAACAAGGTTTTCAGATTGCTCTGTTGTTTGATTTGATATGAAATACGACGACTGTAAAACACTTTGCAAGTCTGTGTGTAAATGTTTTTACATACTGATGATAAAATTATACAGTTTTTTAATTATCATTGTGTTCATGAATAATGTGTTAATTTTAGTGGACTACTATTCTTTTTGTTTGGCTGTAAATACTGTGTAAAGTGAAGGGTTCTGTAAAGACAGTAAGACTAATGTGAATAATTCTCACTACCACAGCTTCTTAGGATACGAGCATTGCAAGTCGAGTATGAGAGAGATGCAACATTTCTATTGTTTTTACTATTTTATTTTTCTATTCTTGCCTTAACCCTTTCAGTATCTGCCATAGTTTAATGTCTCCTCACTGTTTTATGACAACACGATGGATTTGATAAGTTCGTGTGTACATGTACAGATCTCTGATCCCTCGCTTAAAAGCATCAACAGCAGTGGATTCTGGGAAAAAAAATCGCCTCGGCAAACTGACGGGAGCTGGAACAGACTGTTCGCAAGCCTTTTTCTTTATTTTCTTTTTTTTCTCCACCTCCACTGAAAGTGAACTGAACAATCTCCTCACGAGAAAAAAAGACAAAATAGAACTATGTACACATGTAAAGGAAAAGAAAAAATCTAATGTTGTTCTCGATTCAGTTCCGACTAAAAAAAAAAAAAACAAGCCATCTTGTTTCTCATCTAATGTCTGACTTTTTAAAAAGCAACGGTTTTGGACCGTCTTGATCCTGATGTGCTCGTTCATGTTTTTTGATAGAGGACCACGGCGGAGAAAGCCCCCCCACCCCACCCCACCCCACCCCCTCCCAGGTCTGTTCATCGTTTCCTCTCCAGTTCAGAGTGACCGACTTAATTGTACTCAAAGGGTTAAGTGTCATTTGACTTGAAGACTGTGTCGTGATAAGAGTTTGCTGTAAAAAAAAAAAAAAAAAAAAAAAACTTCAGTTAATAAATATTTTAGTTGTTTACTTTATTTGCTGTGAGTATTTGGCTTCACTTCGATGTTTGCTAGTAGTAGCGTCACAACCATCAGGTGGCCGACACACAGACTGTTTCTCATCTGTTTGCCTATTTCCATCCATCCAATATCAATATCGCTTACGCATCACTAGGCCACGCGTATTTGCTCATATTAAATATTTTATTTTACAGAAAAATGCCTGGAAAGACAAAAGTTTTACTTAAAATCTTTCTTGGAGTGCCCGCAAAGATTTCCTGCTAACACCAGTGCCCCCTGTGTGGAGGCGCGAGTTCCCACATTCCCTCTTCCCATCTCTCGCTTGTGCTTTCCTCTCTATGAAAGCTTTTTCTTCTTCTTCTTCTTTGTTTGGTTTATTGGCAAGAGTCCACCAACGTCAAGGTGCATTACTCACAGAGAGGACAAATAACAAGAATAAAAACAACATCCTTTAAAAGTTACGGCAAAAGAAAGTAAGTAATGGGGGGGTGGGGGGAATAAAATCAAGTAAAAGCCGTTCTGTAACTACACTTTGAAGGATGATTTAAAAACAGATAATGAAATTTCAATCCTTTTTTAAATCATCAGCCAAATTTCACTCCTTCATATCAGTGGGGCTCTTCACGTCGCCAGCGATCGCAGAGTTTGTCTGAGCCTGACAGATGAATCCCAGCATCAGGATGCAGAGCTGGAAAAGTCTTTCATGTTTGTTCTTTTTTATCAATATCTCCATTCCCCTCAGGAAATGTATGAAAGGCTGTGTTGCAGTAAAGATAAGTGCGTGTGTTTGATGCCGTAATGGTGCGTAGCTGTGCCGCTAACAGGTACAGCAACACTTTTGAAGCTGCACTGTGTGGAGAAAAAAAAAAAAAAAAACCTGAAAGGTGCACAACATGGGATCTAATGTTTTCCTGCAGCACCACAGTTGGTAATGAAAACAAATCTAAATGATAAGAAAATACTGAAATGTGATTCTTTAAATCAGCAGGAACTTTCAACTGCATACAACCAGGATAAGATAACATTTTATTTCTTTGTTAATAAATACTTGTATCCTTCGTCAGGAAGAAGAATAAAAAACCTTCCTCCTACAAAAATCTGAATTCATCAGGAGTGAAACCCGTTCTTACACTAACTCATCATGGAAAATGTTGGTTACAGTCAACTGAAATATGTCTTGTTGAACTAAAAACACTGAGTCCCACCTCTAATTGCATAAGTATTATTCTTTACTGATACGTTTTGCCCTCAAAGTCGTGTGAAAAGCAAATGTTGTGGCCGCTTTGCTGTCAAATATCAAATATACAAACCACGCTCCTTAGTAAAATCTTCCTGAACTAAACGCAAACATTGGCAGTATAATAAAGATAATGTTCGTATTCTGATCTTCAAGTCTATTTTCATCTGCAGGATTACACAAAACCTACTGAATGAATTGGCACAAAACTTGGTGGAAGTCAGGAGACAACTCAATAAATCATGGTGTCGATCCAAATCAGGGGGCAGATCCAGGAATCTCAACATTCATTTCTCAGAGAATAATTCCTGGACCTTGATGAATGTTTAGGGGACTGATATTACAATTTGGTACAATTACAAATAAAATTGCGGATCTGGTGAATTTAAATGTGTTGTGTGCAGAGGAAAGTTCTCGGATAACGATCTGAGCGAACAAACAGTTGAGCTAGTTATATTTTACAGGCCTGCAATACTGTGTTTTCTAGGAATCCCCTCAGCCATTTCTAAACAAACTAAATCAGTTATTTGAAGACAAACTAAAACCGCTCACTTTGTACATGACCCCGTCAGCCTTGGTCTTGTTGTGTCACGAGGATTATGTCCTCTCTGACAGCACCGATGGGTCAGAGCCTGTCCTCCCATGTTTGTCTGAGGGGAACAGCAGCAGTCACTCGAGCTCTGGACCGGACGAGCCTGACACCAGTTTGTCTTAAAAACACACCGATTATTTGGGGCGAGCTGACGTTGTTGTAAAGCTTCTCTCTCTCTCTCTCTATTGAACTGTGCTGTGGAGGGTTCAGTCAATTAACCTGCTGTCAGTGAGCTGTAAAGCAAGTCCCCTCTCTCTCCACACTCTGTTTGTCATGGTCGTAGTGAGTAGTGGTCCTCAGGTCCCTGGTCCGCCCCCTCAGCCCGGGACGGCTCCACCCAAAGGTGCTTGCCATTCATGGGCTGGAACCGTGGAGGTCGACGCAGAAGTGATGGAGAGACTCCCTCAGTAACAACTCTCATCTACTGTACAGCTGCAGGAGGAGGAGGAGGAGGAGGCGGGTTCACCCAGAATCTGCACATGAATGGACTGACTGAAACGCGTACGATCGAAAATTGCTTTTTCAATCAGCTCCAATTTAACTGTAAGAGATGTCTTACTCCTCCTGATGGATTTGTTGGTTTAGAACAACAGAGGAGAGATGGCACTTTGGCATCAGCTCAGTGAAACAGAAAGTAACTTCAGCAGCCAACCCCCTCTTCCTCCTCCACCTCCTTCTCCTCCTCCTCCTCCTCCTTCTCCTGCCATCAGCAGTCAAATCGATCAACCTCTCCTCCATCTATTGACATTTCATGAACGCCCAGGGCAGCACGCTTGAAATGCAAAAAGGCTACAAATACAAGTGCTCTACCTCAGGCTAAGAATTAATACACAAACTATGTGCTATGTACATGTACTATATGTTGCTCATGTTGATACAGCGAGGATTAAGCTGCTTAAATGCGTTATCGACATCCTGACCAATCAATGGGTGTATAATTACAGAGTGCAGGTGAGCCAGTGACAAGGCAACCCGCAACCCCACTATTGACCCGCGGTCAGCTGGAGCAGCTAAGTGTTTATTTAACCCAGTGCCACGGAGCGTGTGTGTATATCTAATGTGTTTATACGACCTGCCGACCCTTCCTGCTCGTCGATTTTGCAAATGTTTAGAGTTGATTGAAATCCATGCATTGTTTTTTATACGTTAAATTACATTTAAAGCAGTGGGAATCAGACCAACTAGCAAAAACAATCCGAGATCGACTCATTTTATGTTCTCAAGTCCCTGAAAATTGGAAACTATGTGGAGCACAGCACCAGGATTATTGTATTTTTCAAATGGCAAAAGTCTGGTTAGCATAGCCAGAGGTGTTGAATGTATTTATGTTCAGTCAGCTGTAGGAGAAACCTGCACCAGCATGCTAATGAATTGCCTATTCAGACCTTTTAGTCCACCACCTTCAGAACTTTCCTCTCTGTAAAGTGCAGAATCAGATCTAAGGAGGTGGAGTGAATATACCAACAGATTATTTTTTAAATAAGAGTGGGCT